AACTACGAGCCTTCAAGCAAAAGAAGTGATGGAGGCGCTTTCCGTTTTCAAAGAGCCCGTAACCATCGACAAAATTGTGCATTACATGGCAAAAACCTATTCACAGCCGGAGGATAAGGTGAAGAAACTGGTCGAGGAGACACTGAATGAAGTAGTCCGCTATGGGATTGTACTGAAGCACAATGAGTTTTATTACCGAGTCTGTGACGCTGTTGACGCCTTAGAAGAGAGTTCCGAGGAAGATGAGGACGACGAAGTTGCCAGCGCCCAAAGCTACGAAAGTGTGGACAGTGGAGACATACCTCCGGAGCCGAAATCGAATAAAACCAGTGAAAGAAAGCCAAGTGGTGTGCACGCGCCATCGCGACAGTCGCTTAAGTCCAAAAGAGTGAATAACCGCGACGATCGCAGGAGTAAAAAATCGAGAGATGTCTACAGCGAGGAGGAGGAAGAGAATGCGGGCGATTCGGCTGGTGAGCGTCGTAAAAGATCCCATACGTGCAACTGCGACTGCTACAGTTCCCACGGCCATAGCTCAATGGACGACCATGGTTATTTGCGGGCTCGCAGTCGCTCGGCGCCCCGCCGCCAATAGAGTGGAGCTGTTCAGCAACAACAGGTGCATATTGCATAGGCGTTTGGGAGCTTTTGTGTTGAGTGGAAATTGTTTGTGAACTTTAAAATTTTAGTACTAAATAAAAACTATGCCGCTTGAATGATTAAGCGGAGATATTTTATGTATGTATGTATGTATGTTTGGATTATTCAGGGCGAATTGCTTAGGAAGGCTTATCAAACTATATGGCAACACCAAAGCGAACGTTGATTGCGAAAAAGCAATAACTCAGTTACGACCATCATTCCTCAGATCCTTAATTGAACAGAGTTATAAACATTCTTCAGCGGAAAGTTCTAATTACTGTTACTGGATTCTTTTATTTTTTTTGGTTTCCGTAATTTGACAAATTTCCGGTGCAGAAGAGTCTTTTGGGACAATTCCCCATACCTTGCGTACATTAACCAAAAACGAGTGGGGAATAAACTGTAATGAGTGTGGGCGGGGGTCCTGTGACCATAAGCACGCAAGCTTGAAATTTAGTTGGCGTGGCTGCTCGTTAATGAGAATCAATGGACCTAGCGAGATTGTGACACACGACATGCGAAGTGGTTGGAGGGCAGGCAGTACAGACAACAACGGTACTTTCGGGATAACAATGTGTTGAGGTGTTGTCGTAAATAGCGAAACAATGCGCAAATAACGAGCCGACTCAACGAACCTTTCAAGATTTATTTCTTTTGCAACAAATTGAAGTTCCCACTCACCGCTGGCCGCGAAGGCAGAACACGAAGTGCCACTAACCTGATGCCATTATAGAAGACACAATAAAACAATAACAAAACACAAAAGTGGGTGTTAGTCCGAAGGCATTAAATAACATCGCTTGACATTTATGGCCTTGTCCACCTTGGTCGTTGAATGACGGCAAGAAAAATAAATTGTAATGGCATGATTCGAAGGATTGTATACACTACTGACTGGAGAAACGGAGTAGGAATATTTTACCTTTATAGAGCGAACTGGAGAAAATTATTTTTTTTTGCAAATAAATTAATTGTAAAAACAAATATTTTTAGAGCAATCTTTCTAAATATGAACGAAATCGGACCATGAATGCTGGTTTACCAAATATATGGACTCGTGCGCCACCTATCGGACAAGTTTTTAGTGGAGTTATTCCTTTTCATGTAGTTAATATAAGTACATACGTTCTAAAGATGAACCAAATCGGACTATATTTAAATACGGGTTTTTCGAATATCTCGACTCCTGCGGCACCAATCGGATTAACATTGCCAGCGGGTTTTGAGCCAACTGTGAATTTTCAAGTCTCTATGGCTTGCCCTTAACAAACATGCATACATACATATATGTATACAGAGCAAATTAAATAAAAGCTTGTAATAATAAAAAGGTCTAATTTCTTAATTAATATGTAAACTCTAAAATTTTGATTTCGAACCGCGGTTTACTAACAAATGCATACATATGTGTGTATGTATATATGTACATTAGATCAGTGGCGGATTTATCGTACAGGCAACATAGGCTGAAGCCTAGGGCGGCAGAATTAAGGGGCGGCAAAATTTAAGACAGCTAAATTAAAAGAAAAAAATTTATTTGGATTCAGCTGCACTTGAAATTGTGTTTGTGTCTGTAAAATATTATTAATGATTCATCTCATTCAATACAATTCAAAATTAGAATTACGCTGCGAATTTTTCCTTAGTATAGCAGTCGTTGAAATTTCCATTTAACTTTCATTCACGCGGCTTAGAAACCTGGCGGCGCGCATGCGCGTGACGCAAAGAAACAGCCGACACGCTGCCCCGAGAACGAGAATCATCTAAAAGGTTACCACACTTGACAACACTGCCGAAAAACGAGCGTGCATTTTCGAGAAAATTCTTGATTCCAAGCCCACCAGTTTTTCATAAGTGTATCATAACGTGAATAATCTGAAGGTCAGCTTCCGTCGTATGTCAAATTAGGCAGTGGCAAAATCAAGACGTAAAGAACTGTGAAAAAGAAGTGTTTGAAAGAGGGTTTTTGTTGAATACCTTATCCATGCTGATGTCGAATTTGTTAATTCCGTTATGTATTTCATTATTAACGAACTATATTGTAATAAAGCACTGACAATAACAATCATATTTGATATATATATATTTTTTTTTTTTCGTGAAAAAAGGGCGGCAAGTTATGAATTGCCTAGGGGCGGCAAATATTTAAATCCGCCACTGCATTAGATGCTTTATTTTGCTAAAGTACTTCAGATCCTCCCTTCGGCAGCAGAATATGAAAATAAAACGCTAAAAACCTCACAAAAAGGAAAAAAAGTTCAGTATTGCAAAATTGAATGGAAAAAACATTCTTCCTGCATAAGAAAGAAAAAATCTATATCCCACCTTATGAAGAATAATAAGCTAAAGCGTCTGGCGGTTATTTTAATACAACCATTGCAAGCCTCCGAGTGCATTTCTGCAATGAAAAATAGCTTCTCATAAAAAACAATCGTCGTGCGGAGTCGCCACAAATCGGAGAAGAAGCTCGGCCAAACACTAGCATATGTATGAGCGCCAGATCTATTATTATTATTATTAACCCGAAAGTTACCCATACGGCCCAAAGTGACTATTTGGTACTATTTTTCACGAACTTTCAAATTTATTCTTTGAAATTTTCCAGATAGTAGTAATTTATCCTACATTAAAATACTTCTAATTGTAACTAATTTAATGGAGTTATAAAAAGAGCGAAAGGATTTCAAATCGAATTATATTTTAACAAATAAATTAGGTTTAAGATTCGTAATCAGAGAAATCTGAGTCAGATTCCAGTCGAATTACAGACTTTTTATTTATTGAAGTGAAACTTCTTTAGCGGCGGTTGATTGGTTGGGAGTAAATTGGCAAATTCAACGGAAATTGCACACGGAAATGGTGCAACGGAATTGGTTGGGGCTGAAACGAGTGCTTCTTGAGTGTATGCACATGGTATTAATTAAAAAAAAGGTTAAAGAATAACACTTAGAAAAGACCAATACAAGATTGAAAGTAAAGGTGATAAAGAGAAGGATAAAGGTCAAGGTAAAAATAAAAACAAAAACAAAGGCGCGAAAGATAAAGGCAAAAATGAATACCAAGGTAAATTTAAATACTTTACTTATATAAGCGCAAAGGTGAAGTGGAATATTTAGATGAACATAAAGGTAAAAATAAAGATAAATACAAAGAAAAAGATGAGGATGAGGATGAGGATACCGATAAAAGTAAAGATGATGATTGAGCAAGACAGATTAAAATAATGGTAATTATGGAGAAAAGGATATAAATAGATACGCAGAGACTCAATCTGGGAACTATTTTGGGTTTTTCGATATTTTCGGAATTCTCGGGACTTATCGATATTTTTATCAACTTTGATATCGAAATTTCTAAAGATATTGTTATCGATTTTTCTTTCGAAATTTTCGGAACTTATCGATATAATAACCGATATTTTTATAGATTTTGTTATCCACATTTTTACCGATTTTGTTATCGATTATCGATTTTGTAATCGATATTTTTAAAGATTCTGTTACCATTTTGTATCGATATTGTTATTGGTTTTGTTATCGATAGTAACATCCATATTTTTATCGAATTTACTATCGATATAATTATCGACTATTTATCGTTTTTTTTAGCGATTATTTATCAATTTTAACAAAATCGATATTACTGTCGATATTTTTGTGAATACTCAATGGATTTTTGTCATTGATATTGTTATTGCTTTTATTATCAATAGTTTCATCGATTTTGTTATCGTTTATTTATCGCTTTTGTTATGGAATATTTATCGATTTTGTTATCGATTATTTATCGATTTTGTTATCGAATATTTATGGATTTTGTTATCGAATATTTATCGATTACTTATCGATTTTGTTATCGATTGTTTATGAATATTTTTATCGATTTGTTAATAGAAATTTTTATAGATTTTACTATCGATATTTTTATAGATTTTCTAATCGATTTTTGTTATCGCTTTTATTATCGATTTCGTTACCGATATTTTTGCCGATTTTACTATTGGTATTTTTATCGATATTTTTATCGATTTTGTTATCGATAGTTTGATGGATGTTGCTATCGATTTTTTTATCGATAGAATATAAAGATAAGAATGAAGATAGAGGGAGACAGAATAACATAAATGTAATTAGAACGATCAGAGGGAGGAACAGGTATAAGCTTAAGCTAAAGCAGATGTATGAATGTAATATACATATGTATGTGTCTTGGTTATGAGACAAAATAGATATGTAACGTAAGTTTCCCTTCTCCAGTGTGGCCCAGGCGCACTTACTTTTCTGTATTCCCTCATACTGGAAACATACTCGAGTCGTCCAGCTTTTCGGATATTCCCATTTCCCTGATTAACTTTGCTTTCTTAGAAGAACTTATGTATTTTTTATAAAATGTAACGGAGTATAAAGAAAGTAGGAAGGAAAATTACCATTGAGCTTCTTTTATAAAAATAACCATAACTTTCTTCTGTCGCTTAGATCAAAATCCAAGGATTTCTCAGAATGGAAGTCACTCTTACATGAATATGCATGTATGTACATACATATTATCCTTTTCGATTAATCCCTTTTGGCTTTTGCCGAACACTATATGTATGTATGCATGTCTGTATGTACTGTATATGCCATATGTCGCATAAAGAAATCAAAGATAACCAAAATTCTGCTTCCAGCCATATATCACGAAACTTCACTAAGAACTTAACAAGCTTACTAGACGAATTATGTGTTTGATACAAAATTAAGCTTCTGTACAAAAATGGGGACATAAATAATTAACAAACTTGGCCCAAAATGAATGATAAATTTCACAGCAAAAAAATACAGGCAGCTAAAACAGAAGTCAATAAAAGAAGCACACAAGAGTGTGAGCGATAAGTTCGTTTAATATTTATGACTACTGTATTATGTACACAATCCCTATTTACTCATATAGTCATACAAATATACGCACCCT